AACTTTCCCTGATTGGTTAAAAGAAATGTGGTGGGGAATTGATTCAAATATTTGCTGGTTTACTTTATATATGTGATTCATATTCCATAATTTTTTATTTATTGATAAATTTCATGTTTCAATCTTCTAGGAATATGCCTCCAATTTGCATAAGGCATGTTATATTATATGGTAAAACCGTAAAAATAATAAACTTGAGATCTCGACACGGTTCCCACCACCCACAAAAGGAGCATTCTAAAATCATATCATTTTATCTTGAGTAAACGACATGTTCCCACCCAAGGTTTGACGAAATCCCAAGTTAGTACTACTTATTTCATTTATTCTAGATTCCCACCCTTAAAGTGACGAAAAAACATTTGATGTAACGGTAAAGGGGTAAATTGGTCATTTTACATGGGTGGCGTAAGTTAGCAGACCACCGCCTCTAATAGTCCTCCGGCGTACGTTAGCAGTCGTCGTTCCCGACGTTTTTCGCTCTTATCCAGCGATTCTTCCACCCAAAATCATCCTAGTCACCACCATTTGAACCCCCATCCTCCCCTCTACAAAACCATACCATTCACAACCTCTCATCACTCGTCGATCTCCGGCTACGGCAACGAAAAAAGGCCGATGAACAGGAACTCTCGGATGGTGAATGACGACGAAACGGTTGCTGGGGACATAGGGGTTTTATAGATTTGGGGACGGTGGTTGCATTGGTGGTGTCCAATTGAATTTTCGCCGTCGGAATCTGGTGAAGAACACCGAAACCCTAAGCCTAACGGTGCCGGCGATTGGAGGGGCAAATGAGTCGGGAACCAGAGGGGTTTTGGACGACAGACTACGGGGAAGGTGATGGAGGTGATCAGGGGGTTCGACGTCGTCGGAAACAGCCCAGATCGGACTGTTTTCGGTGAGGGTGTATAGTGATCAAGGGTGTTTTTGATATAATTTGAAAATAAAATGATAAGTTTTATAATTCTACTATTTTAAGGGTTAAAAATAATTTTAATTAATTTAAGGTTAAGGGTATTATGAATATCTGAAATAAATGAAACTAGTGATATTAACTTAGGATTATCTCTCTCTATTAGCAGATATCTTTGGTCAGAAACACAATTACAACTTACATCGAATCACTTTAAAAGCTATTATGTGTTCTTTCATTCACTATAGTTGATTTCTTATACTTTACCTCGTGATAAAGATCGTGGAAGTATTAATACTGTTCTTTCATAAACCAAATGACTATTTTCTTCAATTATTGATGAATTAAAACAATTTTATTTTTAATCCCAAATGGAAGAAAAGAGAAAATAAAAAGATATCAAATTCAGAAAGTTGATGATTACGATATGACCAAAGAAAGTATGTGGAAATATAAGGACACACATAATGAAGAGGATGAAGGAGTGAAATCGATGTGTTCTCATAAACAGTCATAAATGATAGAAAATAAATTAATTCGGAGGGAAAATGTCTAATCAGGCACCAGGATCAATGTGATCAGTCCAATTGTGATGATGAATGATGAGTATGCAGAGCAGAAGGGGGGTCGGGTCTTAGGCTTGCCGCGCTGTGAGTTAAGTTATGAGCATGAAGATTTACAGATTGTATCAAGTAAAAAAGTAAATAAATGCATGTGTTAAAGTTGAAGTTGACTTTCTATGGGAAATTACATCAAATCATCTGATGTTTTTGTCAGTGACAGTGCATAACAATAGAATAATATACTACTTCAGGTTAAGCTCTCCCGTGGTCCATCCATAACTCCAGCTCATTAGAATCTTCATTACCACACCAACATAGACAAATTTTAATCAAATTCAATACAAGTGAGGAAGAGTACACAGAGAAAGAGGAGGAGGAGGAGGAGGAGCAGAAACAAATGGTACTAGAGTTAAGTTTAATGGGCAAGATGATTTTGTCAGTAGTGGTGGGTGGGCTTGTTGGGTTGTTTCTCTATCTGTATAATGTGATGTTGTTGAAACCAAAGATTTTGCGGTCTAAACTTACAAAGCAAGGGATTAGAGGACCTTCACCTTCTTTTCTCTTGGCAAATATTCCTGAAATGAAGAAGATCCAACTCCAAGTTATTTCTGAACAACAAAATAAAGCTGCTCTTTCACTTCCTCATAATTGGCCTTCAACCGTCTTCCCTTTTTTTGAGAAGTGGACTAATGAATATGGTATGCATAGGCCTTTCTATATCATTGTTTTCCTCTTTTTATATTCTAGTATAAGAGATTAGACAATTATTAATATTATTTTGTTGGTGGCAGGGCCAATGTTTTTGTATTCAACTGGGAATATGCAGATGATATATGTAGCAGATGTTGAGATGGTGAAGGAATTGAGCTTGTGCACATCTTTGAGCTTAGGGAAGCCTTCTTATCTAACCAAAGAACGTGGGCCAATTCTAGGTCATGGCCTTATTTCCTCAAGTGGCCTTCTCTGGGCTCATCAAAGGAAGATTATTGCTCCTGAATTCTATCTTGATAAAGTCAAGGTAATTCTCATAAGTTGTATGAATTTTTGTTTAAGTATTTTACAGAGCTGATAATCACTATGCAATCAATTGTTTTGAAAGGGTATGGTGAACCTGATGGTGGACTCTACAACATCATTGATAGGAGTTTGGGAAAGAATAATTGAAAGTGAGGGTGGAACTGCAGAAATTAGAGTTGATATGGATATGAGAAGTTTAGCGGCAGATATAATTTCAAGAGCTTGTTTTGGAAGCAATTATTCTGAAGGTCAAGAAATATTCTCTGGACTCAGATCCTTACAGAAAATCATGTCTAAGGGAATGGTTGGTGTTCCTGGCTTAAGGTAAATTTGCATACAAGTAGTAATTACTATTCTTCGGTTATTCATTTATGATTTGACCAATGGCTTATTTACATGTCCCAAATTGTTGTCTCAAACTGTTAAAAGATATTTACCCACCAAAAGCAATAGAGAGATATGGAAATTAGAGAAAGAGATCAACTCAATGATACTCAGAGTGGTGAAACAAAGACTTGAGGCTTCCAGTGAAAAGGATCTTTTACAAATGATACTACAAGTCGCCAAAAGTAATAATGATGAGAGTGGATTAACATCTCAAATCTCACAAGACAAATTCATAGTGGATAATTGCAAGAGTATATACTTTGCTGGCCATGAAACTAGTGCAATTACAGCATCATGGGTATTGCTTTTATTGGGTGCACATCCTGAATGGCAAGATCGTGCTCGCTCTGAGCTGCTCAAAATTTGTAGAAATGGCCTTCCGGATGCTGATATGCTTCCAAGCTTGAAAGTTGTAAGTTACTTTTCTAAATCTATGCTTTAATTTGTGTTTTCTGGTTAGGCAAGAACTAGGTGGTCTGAAAAGGATTTACTATCAGTATTTTTTTATTATAGTTTTCCAAAATCAAAGGAGTTAGTTAAAGTCACTCAAATGGTGATTTTTTCAATATAAAAGTTAAAGTCACTCAAATGGTGATTTTTTCAATATAAACTTTTTCTTTGGATTCAAAGTGAGTAAATTAAAATTAATATTTATATTTGGTGGCAGTTGACAATGGTGATTCAAGAGACATTGCGGCTATACCCACCAGTGGGATTTATCCCAAGAGAAGCCTTGCAAGATATCAAGTTCAAAGACATTGTAATTCCCAAAGGTATGGGCATTCATATACCAGTTGCCATGTTACAACAGAATCCAGATTTATGGGGGCCAGATGCACATCAGTTTAAACCAGAAAGATTTGCCAATGGAATTTCTGCTGCTTGCAAAACTCCACAAGCCTACCTACCCTTTGGAATGGGGCCTCGAATCTGTGCAGGCCAACACTTTGCCATTGCTGAACTGAGGGTGATACTATCTCTCATTTTATCAAAATTTTGTTTCTCACTATCTCCAAAATACTCTCACTCCCCTGTTTATAATTTGGTTGTGGAACCTAAATACGGTGTAAGTCTATATGTAAGGAAAGTATGAACCCTTTGAATTTCGGAGGTGAATAATAAATAGGAGTCTCTAAGTTTGTCGCCATGGCAGGCATTTAGTTGTTAAAATGACCCTGTCTGTCTTTTTAATATAAATATTATATATGGTCATTTGTGTTTTGGCAATTGGCACACAATTGTCTCTTGAAGACTTTGGTTTAAATCTACCAATCTTTGACACATTGTTAATCTGGCATACAACTCAACCAAATCACGCCTTCAATCCAGCGAAAATGGTAACTTCTTGCATTTATTATATGATTTGAATGAAAGGCTTCGCATAGAAAAGATAAAAAACAAACACTTGTAGGATTGCAGATTATAAAAATAATCTTCCATATTAGAAAATGAATAGTAACAGAGAACCTGTTTTTGATCTCAGATGTGGGTTTCAAAGGGTCTGTTCATTACCATACTTGAAGAAATGATATATAAAGAAAACGAAACGCGGCCCTCAAAGCATTTGCTGAAATTAGTGATTACCAATGTACTGAAAACTTAAGACTCGGTATTATTTGATTCAGTAGAAGAGGTTTTGATCGTTGAACTTGGAGAACATATTCAAAGGCAAGATATTCGTAGACTGAACGAATCAATTAGATTATTGATAAACAGTGAAGTTTCCACTGAGAACTGGAAATCAACTTCTGATAGCACTAGAGAATATTTTAATACCCGGTTATTCTTCCCACTTAACCACTAAGTGTTTGCTTTAGAGATGGAGTCAAACCACTTTTGATTATCACTGAAAAATATATTATGTAAGTTTCTGATGCAAATGTCATGAGTGATGAGACCAAAGACTGCGCTTTCGGAGTGTCAACATGACAATGGCTCACCAAGTTATCTCTTTTAATTTTGATAATGTTAGTGCATTAGAATAATCAATGTTTTAGTGATTTTTTTATAATACAAAGGACTCATATTATGAAAATAAATATATATACATACATCTTGTGAACACCGGTGCATTTTACAGAAACAAAGTTCTAGAAGGTCAGGGGTAAATGTTTCAAACCCTTCTTTGACAGATTGCCCAAGTCCCAATTACTTTATAAATGGCCACATGCGAGTCTTTAGAAATATGCAAATTAAACTTTATGGTGTATACTTTAGAATTATAAAGAGAGAGGGGCAATTGAGCAGGTAAAAGATATGTTAAGTCTGAGGGATTGGAAGATAATTTTATCAGCAATTTTGTTGGGAGGGATAGGGTTATTGTTTCTACACCTGTACAATGTTTTGCTCTTGAAACCAATGAGGTTAAGATCAAGGCTCCAAAAGCAAGGGATTAAAGGACCTTCTCCTTCATTTCTGTTGGGAAACATCACTCAAATAAAGCAGATCCAACAAGAAGCTGCAACTGCAAAATGCCAACAAAATGTTGGTATTTTGCATAATTGGCCTTCAACAGCTTTTGCATATCTTGAAACGTATAGAAATCAATATGGTATGACTTTCATCCAAATTATTTATATATTTTCTACTCTAAATATATACATAGAGATGTCGCTTCCTCACCAGTTTTTGTGCTGGTGGCAGGACCGATATACATGTATACGGTTGGAATTATTCAGATAATATGCATAACGGACATGGATTTGGTGAAGGAAATAAACCAGTGCACATCTTTGAGCTTAGGAAAGCCTTCTTATCTGTCTAAAGATCGGGGGCCTTTGCTCGGCCAGGGCATTTTAACATCGAATGGCCAACTTTGGTCACATCAAAGGAAGGTCATTGCTCCTGAATTATACCTTGACAGGGTTAAGGTAATTTCCCTACTATAGTTATTGTTGTAAAAGCATGCTTAATCTCTTTAATCAAGTTAAAATGTTTTCTAAGGGCATGGCAAAGCTCATGGTGGACTCTACCTTGTCGTTGGTAAAATCTTGGGAGGGTAGAATTCCAAGCGAAGGTGGAATTGCAGAAATTAGAGTGGATAAGGATATGCAAAACTTGGCTGCAGATGTTATTTCAAGAGCTTGTTTTGGTAGCAGTTACACCAAAGGCCAACTAATATTCAACAAGTTCGAATCTCTCTTGGAAGTAATGTCCAAGAGAACTGTTGGAGTTCCTGGATTGAGGTACAAACAATCACGTTATTTAAAGATTATTGTGATAATGTTATACCATGATGGTTGATTTTATGTACGAGTAACGAACTTTTTACCCTTTTAAAAGGTACTTACCCACCAAAAACAACAGAAAGATATGGAAATTAGAGAAAGAGATTGCAACAATGATACTACAAGTAGTCAAAGATCGAATTGAGTGTTCTTCCCATGAGAAGGATCTTTTGCAAATGATAATTGAGGGAGCTAAAAGTTGTAATGACCACAACGGCGTCCCCTTGAATATTTCTTATGACAAGTTCATAGTGGACAACTGCAAGAACATATACTTTGCTGGACATGAGACCTCTGCACTCACAGCATCATGGAGTTTCTTGTTATTAGCTCTAAATCCGGAATGGCAGGATCGTGTCCGTGCTGAGGTGGTCAGAGTTTGTAAAGATGGCAATCCAGATGCTGATATGCTCCGAAGCATGAAATCCGTACGTATAAATCCAAAAAAAAAAAAAAAAAAAAAATTGCAGTTCCTTTGCAAATATTATCTAAAATGATGGTCATTCAATCTAATGTCATAATTTTTTGGCAGCTAACAATGGTAATCCAGGAGACATTGCGCTTATACCCTCCAGCAGGTTTTGTATTTAGAGAAGCATTAGATGATATCAAGTTCAAAAACATTGTGATTCCAAAAGGCATGGGCATCCAGGTACCAATTCCACTGTTACAACAAAACCCAGATCTTTGGGGACCTGATGCTCACGAGTTTAACCCAGAAAGATTCGCCAAAGGAATAAGTGGTGCTTGCAAGATACCACAGGCTTATATGCCATTTGGTGCAGGACCTCGGGCATGTGCTGGCCAACACTTTGCCATGACAGAACTGAAAGTGATAATATCTCTTGTTCTATCAAAGTTCAGCTTTGCACTCTCCCCAAATTACCACCACTCCCCCACGATCAGGGTCAATATAGTGCCTGAAAATGGAATTACTCTCCATATAAAGAGGGTGTGACGATGTTGATGTTTGTGACTATTAGTTTGAATAATGATCGAACGGATGTTATAGAATGTGTGTGATTCTTGAATAGCAACTTAATCATCTTTACACAAGAAGTGAAACTACAACATTTGCCAGTCAGAAATTTCTCTTCCTAAATACAGATACGATTTTATGAGAGGGCTGTCACGTTGCAACATTTATACGTTAAACCTTCTATAACAAATTCTATACAATACAATCATTTCTGAGGTCTAAATAATTATTCACTAGTTAATTATCCTGTCATTTACGGCAACGCAGTTTCAAATTTCTCTCACCGGCTGCATATAACAAATTCTTCAAGAAAAAATAAAAATCAATAATACAAGTTCAGTCAAACACCATGAAAAGAAAAAACAAGACACACTACATGGACTTTACAAGCAACAACAGAAGGATAACTTATTTGTCAGTTTGATACAATTATTTGGAAAAATATATTATTAACTCGTTGGAAAGGATTGATTTTTCTCATATTGTGGTAGTACAAAAGAGGGCTATGAAACTTCTCCCAAATTCGTAATAGTGAGTTAAGCTCTACAAATTGGCCTTAACAGAACGGAATTCTACATATATAATGCTTACTTGAAAGGGATCAGAACTTCCTATGAGTTCAAATATATATTGTTATTGTTCTGGGCATGTTGAAATAAGAACTCCATGAAGGATTTCACGAGAAGAAGGACCGGTTCCTGTTGCGTTCCAACCGAGCCTCCCTCTGGCACCCACACACAGGAGAGAGAATTAATCTTAAGATTGTAGAATTTTAAGCAGGTATCAATGAAGTAAAGTGCAAGCAGGAAGAAACTATTCGCTCAAATTTTGCAAGTAAAGCTCCTTGATTGGAAAAATATGTACAAAAAAACAACATAAAGAGGAAACACAGAGAATTTGAGAAGTAATGCAATGCAATACCTCCTTTTTCTTGCATTCCTTGTAAACATCGAAATGTTCTTGACATTTGCTCTTGTCCGAACTAAATTCTTCCAGACCTGAAAAGCTTATCTTAGGATTAGAGCTCTGCCATATTTAATTTGTCAAGTTGTAAAAGAAAATTTGATCCAAACACAACTTTTTATTAGGACAACTTAAAATCAAAAAGCAAAGCCCTAGTAATCATAGAACTTATCAGTGAACATAAAAAGGAAAACTAATGCGAATACTGAACACAAAAAAAGGGTCTCCCTAACTTGAAGGAATGATCTTGCCTCTTGTCACTTAAGCAACTTGGTAACAGTGTATGTTTCAAATGCGAAAAAGAATAACATTTTTGGTAGTGGGAGACGATAATTGATCAAATGGAACTCAGCTTGGTGATGAGTGAATGACATGACAGAAACCACTATTATCATATTTTTTTGAAACACAATGGATTGCATTGGCAAAACCAGTTGATTGAAATCTTGCTGCTTAAAAACAAGATTAAAATCCAACATAAAGTCACTGATACACCAGGATTGAAGACCATAAAACACTGAACCAGATCCAAAGGAACACCGAAATTTTAATTTACTCAGAGCAACGCTTGAACATACGGAAAGTTCATTTGTCTGTCAGAAACGCTACACCTTCGACAAATTCAAGCCCTAATTTTCTCCCCTTTGATATTTCTAATATTCCCAATTAAAGTTGACTCACATACATTCTATAATGATAAAGAAAAATGCACAAAAAGGGACAATTTGATCAATTGAAGCTTACATTTGAGAGAGGCGGTGTATTGAGGATAGCATTGAGAATCTGAGATTCTTGCGGCACTTGGGTAAGGCGGTGTAGTGGTTGGAGTTGCTGCTCTTGACGACATGCTCGTTCCTTGATTCTGTTCCTACCGATTGTTAGGTTTTGAATCCGATTGTATGTACGTTTCGCTTGTAACGGGCCGGAACCTGGATCCGGGTTTTGCCTCTTAATTTAAGTGGGGATTTTATTAAATTAAAGTTTTGTAAGTTAGAATATAATAGGAAAGATATTACTGTATATTCCATTAATGTGTAGTGTACTGGAACCAACCCATTGGCCCATTAAAATTTTCCATAGAACAACTCTCTCATACGGATCAACTGTTCCAGCATCTTACCTTTACTCATGTAAGAAGAGACCTACTGGGGACACCATCAATCATTAAAAACCTTTTTGACCATTTCCAATAAAAACTTGTCAATAACCCACACATGGATATCTCAAAGAATTCTCTCTATAATTTTGGTGTTGTATCTCTTCTCTTTTCAGGCGTCCTTTATATTTGTATTTGGTCACCCCCAAATACTAATCCTTTGTTACTTTTTCAAGAGTCCGCCTGTTTGCGCTCAACAAGCTTTGTAAGTGTCTCTACACTAATCTTGTTTAACGATTCCTATTTCAAATACGAGTCTAATTCTCTTTCTCTCTTTTGTCACAGACTCATACAACAGATCTCGTTATAGATGATCTTGAAGCAGTTCTACAGAAAGCTTCAATGCCCAACAAAACAGTGATTATCGCCGTCGTGAATAAAGCATATGTTGAACAAACCGTGGAAGCTGATACCACTATGCTTGATATATTCTTGGAAAGTTTCTGGTTAGGGGAGGGCACCAAACAATTACTTGATCATCTTCTTATAGTTGCAGTAGATCAGACGGCGTATGATCGGTGCATGTTTAAACGATTTCACTGCTACAGATTGGTAACGGACGGCGTAGATTTTGCCAGTGAAAAAGTGTACATGTCAAGAGATTTTATCAAGATGATGTGGAGAAGAACTCAGTTTCTATTGGATGTTCTTAAACGTGGTTACAACTTCATCTTCACGGTATGTGTTGGTTTTTGATGATTTGTCGGTGGGGTTAGGTTAGCATTTAGGTGCTCAATATAATTAGATTTGACTTTGTGTCAGTAAATGAATCACTCCAGAGTGGTTAGAGAATTTAATTGCCACGTGGGTAAGGGTTAATGGCTTATGTTACTAAGTTTTCAGTTCTCCCGAAGTTCGGAAAGTGCCATATAGGCGATTCAATGACACCGCAGCACATGAAAAACCAATACCATTCAAGCTTTCTTCTCATCTTGCCATCTTGGAATTAATAAGAGGAGCCTGGGTTATTGGGTTTATATTTTTAGCATAATATCGTCATTATCTTCATATAGTTACGTGATAATCAATAGTGTACACTGTATTGACATTTTGATATACATTGAATATTGGTAATAATAGGTTGAAGCCACACTTAATTTTATGTGTGGTTGTAGGATAACACAGAGATCTTGATACCATATGTTGTTGCCGACACTTCTGCACTACTCGTTTGATTATCTTATGTTTTCGGGTTTGAGAATTTTTTGTTGTTATTTAACCCGATTCAAACCGTCACTCTTGTTGATTCCTCCATTAGTGAATTTTTCAATCCCATGTTTTGCATATTAAGAGGCGCTGGTGTTGGTTTTTCACAATATGACTTTTCATTTTCACTGGAATATTGACACTTCTGTTTTGTTCTTTATTTTATGAGTGTAGGATACTGATGTAATCTGGCTCAGAAACCCTTTTACACGACTAAGCAAAAAGGAAACCGTAGACCTGCAAATGAGTGTTGATACTTACAATGGCGACCCACGATCACAGGACAATTTGATTAATACAGGCTTCTACTTTGTCAGATCCAATAACAAAACAATCTCTTTATTTACCACATGGTATGGCATGAAAGACAATTCAACAGGGAAGAAAGATCAGGATGTGTTATTGGAGCTAATGACACAGGGTTTGTTTAAGAAATTGAGGCTCAGAGTTAGGTTTTTACCTACTCTTTATTTCAGTGGGTTTTGTGAAAATAGCAAAGATATTTGGTCAGTCACAACAGTTCATTCTAATTGTTGCCGTCATGTTGATGCAAAAGTGCAAGATTTGAAGGCTGTTCTTCGAGATTGGAAGCGATTCAAGGAGGCCAAAGTTAAGAACCCAAGAATGGCTCCTAATCGAACCATGGTGACTCGGTGGTCAGAACACATAGCGTGTTTCAATTCGTGGAAACCACCAAACAATAATTTGCGTAATTAATTAGATTGTTTAGTGCATACCCAGGATTTATTACTGTAATGTAGGTCATAGTATATTGATTATATCTGTTTATATTACTAGCCAAACTAACTTATAAGCTCTAAAATTAAGCTGATATGTTTGTTTATAATTTTTTTGAGTTTATAAATTGATCTTATAAGCCAAAAAAAATAGGGGATGTACTTTTTCTTTTTTTTTTCGCTTATATAAACACTCTGCTTATAAGCTAGTTTGATCAAGTATATTACCACATTATCTTTGTTTAATTTTAAAATTTCATAGTATACCCTTGTTTATGTAGTATCTTTTTTAGTCATTTTATAATAAAATGTACTTATAAGTCACATTTTACCAAACACGTCAACTATTTATCAATCACTTATAAGTATTTTAATCAAACACGTAATTGCTTAAAATTTCAAATGCTTATAAGCTAAAATTAGCTTATCAGCACTAAATGTTGCATATAAGCTAATTTTCATAAGCTAGACAAACACCCTTTTACTATAGCATTGTGAATTATAAATTGCATATGTAGAGCTAGCTATAAGTAAAGCTGGGCAAGGACCGGTCCCAAGCAGGCCCAGGCCTGGGCCCGTTTGGGACTGGTCCTTGTGGGACTAGTCCGGACTAGTCCCAAATGGGTCCAGTCGCTCATGGGCCTAGATCGGTCCCAGGCCCATGAGAAATTCTAAGACTCGGACCGATCCTATGGGCTTGGAAAGTTTTTTTTGCCCCCTCAATTTTTTTAATATTTTGAGGGCGAAACAAAATTTTATAGGGGTTTTTAGTATTTTTTAGGAGTAAATTTTATAAATTTTTTAGGCTTGGAAGATTTTTTCTTTAATAAATTTTGTAAAATTTTCTTTTAACCCCTATAATTTATGTTATTTTAAAATTTATATGGGGTTTTATGCAATTATACAAAGAATTAAAACGAAAATGTAAAAAAAAATTTGGGCCCATGCTTGGGACCGATCCCAGGCCCGGGCCTTGGAGAAGGGCCCAGTGGAGGGCCCGGGCCCTCCTCCTTAGGCCTGGTCCCGTTTTGGGACTAGGCCTCCTAGGACCGAGTTTTGGGAAGGCCCAGTCCCAAATGCCCACCTTTAGCTATAAGAGAGAGGTTATTTATTTGTACTCAATTGGGTTATTTTTCAAGTAAACAAACCACTCAAATTTTATTTCGTATTATTTCGACACAATCATTACATGGACTGATAAATAAAATTTAAAACCCAAAAGTTTTATTGAATTATGAATTTGCTGATTTTTTTTCCTATGTAAGAGCTCTAGTGACCACCTTTATTAACATTCGAACAAAAAATCGAATTCAAAATCTTTTGAATAATAACCCAAAAGTCGTTATCAATTCGTTTGGCCACCAAAGGTAGTTATTTTGTTTTGGTTTTGGTTTTCTTGTTGAGTTTATCAGCTTTGAATTTCTTATATGCGCTATTGGTGTAAGTGAAGCGCTTGAAGGAATTTTGTTTTCCTAGTCAGAATAAAGGATGGAAATATTTTGCTTGGTAATAATTCATCTAGAGTAGCATTGCTACTGCTTAGAGTTAATTTTTATTGTTATTAGTTTTCTAAAGGATAACGAGGAATTTGATTTGTTCTTGACTGGCCTGGTTGGTCTACTTCTGTTTTTAATGTCAGAAGAGGATGAGGTGAAGGAGTATGTAGATGAATATGAAAAGGATGAGCGTTTAGAGTTGGATGATAACGAAGCTGAGTATGAAGCTGATGAGTATGGTGGGGTAGATTATGATGACAAGGAAATAGAACAAGAGGATGTTTAGGAGGTGGGAGTAGAAGAGGAAGAACCGGATGAGGAGAATGTTGGTGAAGAGGAAGAGGGGGATATGGAAGCTTTTCCTGAAGAACATGATGAGGGTGAAGAAGATGATGAACATACTGGCAGTCTGGCAAATGGCAAGGAGCTAATGTATTTCTTCACTCTGTCTCTTGCTTCATGCTACTCCTCTGTCCCCTAATTTTCTTGCTTTGTGGATTCTTTCACAGGATTATGTCCCCACTGTTTTTGATAACTTCAGTGCTAATGTCTTAGTTGATGGCCAGACTCTGAATCTGGGTCTCTGGGATACTGCTGGTACTCTCTTTTCTTCTTCTGCTTTCATAATTCTAATAACTTTAATTGATCACAACGATCTGATTATTTAGTCCCTATATTCTTTTCATGTTTTCAAATGGGATTTGCTGCTACTTACGAATTCTTCATTCACTTTGTGAAAGATTAGGTTTTTTTTTTTTTATTGTTGTGCTTCTATGAATCGTTCGGTTATATACGTAAAGGAGATGAATATTAAATAGGAAATCTTGCAACCCAAATTCTTAAGAAGATTAATGTTTTCATTTCAGTCCCTGCCGTAGCTATGGCATAATAGCTGAAGATAACAGAGAGTTTAGGTGACTATCAAAAAGGAAAACTAATGCGAATATTGAACACAAAAAGGGTCTCCCTAACTTGGAAGGAATGGTCTCGCCTCTTGTCACTTGACCAACTTGGTAACAGTGTATGTTTCAAATGTGAAAAAGATTTACTTTTTGGTAGTCGGAGGCGATAATTGATCAAATGGAACTCAACTTGTTGACGGGTGAATGACATAACACAAACCACTATTATCACATAGTTTTTTCAAACACCGTGAATTGCATCGGCAACACCAGTTGATTGAAACCTTGCTGCTTAAAAACCAAATTAAAATCCAACATAGAGTCTTTTTACTTTTATTTATTTATTTATTTATTTATTTATTTATTTTATATCGTCGAGGTGTCTGAGCCCGTTTATACGTATTTCAATTAATTTTTCGAGATCTAAAACTATCAGCCGAGTAAAAGCTCCAATAACCACCCCTATTAGGGACCGT